TTCAGCTGTTTGAGGTCCAGAGTAGGAAATACTTTTTAATGTCATGATCTGGTGAATACATACATGTATGTGAACAAAAGTTTCATGAATGATATGACTTCTTATGTTATGCAGCTTTTCTGTTTTCTATTCTGTTGGTATTAAAGCTTATTTCAGTACACAAAATTGACTTCATGACCCTTTTCTTTCTTTCTTTTTTTTTTTTTGTAGCACTGGGGATTGAACCCCAGGACCTTATTCATGCTAGTCAAGAGCTCTACCACTGAGGTATACCCCCAGCCCTTTTTATTTTGAGACGGTCTCACTAAGGTGCCCACACTGGTCTTGAACTTGTTATCCTCCTCCCTCAATCTCCTGAGTAGCTGGTATTACAGGTGTGTGCCACCATGACTGACTTAATGACACATTAATGGATTAATACCCTTATTCTTAAAAACAGTTTAAAAATACATGTATATAAGCACACATTAAATATTTACAAACTGACTTTCCAACTTCCCTCTTACCAAGCCTCCAGGGTCCTGTCACCATTCTGTCCTTACCCTTGATAAAACAAAGATGACTTTCACTCCTAATTTTACTGAGTCAAGGCCATCTGATATGTTCATCTGCTTCTCTTCTCTATTTCTATATTTAGTCTATCTTCCAGACTTAGGAGAAAAAAAAGAACATCTTTCCTCTATTTCAAGGTTAGATTTTACACCTGTACTTTTAATTTCATCATCTCTGCCTGCTTTCTTTCTTTCTTTTTTTTTTTTGTAGTACCAGGGATTGAACCCAAGAATGCTTAACCACTGAGCAACATCCCCAGAACTTTTTTGTTTTGTTTTTTTGAGGCAGGGTCTTGCGAAATTTCTGAGGCTTAAAATTACATTAAGCAGACAATTATAACTCAAGGTAACATAAAAAAAATTAAAAAAAAAATTGCTGAGGCTGGCTTCCACCACAGCGGGGCCCCCTCAGTGGCTGGCTTACAGGCATGTGCCACCATGCCTCTGCTTTCTTTTCCTCCTTCAGTGTCTTCCCTCATTTTATATCTAGACATTTTTCCTTGACCATTCCATCATAAACTCAGTCTTAGTGGGTTTTAATGGTTTTTATTCTGGATCTCAGACATCATCAGTGATTTATTTTTAATCATTAGACTACTGCATGGTTGTTTACTTTTTAAAGTTAAAATCTTATGTTTTTGAATGGTTGATGTTTTTACATGGTTCAAAATGCCAAAGATGCAAAAAGGCCATTGAATTAGGAGATTCTCACCTTTATTTTCCTTCAGCTGCTGTAGACCCTGTCCTTTCTGCGCTGCTTCCTCTTGTTCTTCTTGCCTGTGTCTTCACCCACTCAGGAGATGCATGTTTCAAAGTCATCTTTAAGATATTTGCTCTCTTCCTGACCTTCCCATAGCTTCCTTTGAGGAGTTTTATCCTCTTCTGCATTCTTCACCCACTGACAACCCATTTCCCAAACTCATTTTTTGTGACCTTTCATGTCCTTGCAAGCCAAGATTTTGCAATAATAACCCAGCTATTTTTCCCTGCTTCCAGTCTTTACTTCTTTTCAAGTATCGTTTCATGAAACTTTGTTTCTGGTACATAGGTATGGATGTGTATGTGTTTACTAGGTCATGATATACAAAGTATTTCATATGATGGACCTCAAACAGTTGAAAACTCTGACTTTCAGGTGAGGATCATTATATCATCTGAGATATAATCCCTGGTTGTAATCTTGTTTTATTTATGTCACTATCTGCTTGCCAGAAAGTTCAGATTCATTACCATAATTGGCCTCAGTTTACAGTCTTATGAATTCAAGTCTCTACTGTGTCTGCTGATCTTCTATTATCTAGATCGTTCATTCCTTTATTTTTCTATCATCTTTGCCTGATACAGTGTTTGGTTCCTGGTAAGTGTTTGATATGTGTTCTCCTAATGATGGGACAAATTTCAGAAAAAATCCTATACTTTTCTCTGCATTATTATTCTTGCTGCTTTCCTTATTATGCCTGAAGATCTATTTCTGTGTAACTGTTCCCTACTACTTTGGCTCTAACTTTTTATTCCTCCTTCCTATTCCTAGAACTCTTATAACTGTTGAAGATCAGAGTGGCACCATTAGGAGATCTTGAGTTCTTTCCTTAGCACGAGTATCTGTGTTGACAGACATTGAGACGTGACCTGTCTGATACAGGGGTTCTGGCTCACTATTGGAGTTAAAGTTAAATATTTAAAAAATAACATATAAAAGCAGTAAGTGCTGGGATATAGCTTATTGGTGGAATGTTGAACTCACACATGAAACAGCATGTGTGAGGCCCTGAGTTCAATCCCCAGCACTTGCATACACACACTGCCATGCATACACATGAGAAAAATAGATACTTGATATCAATTAACAAATACTTCTTTAAGCCTAAAAATAATGAAAATGGTAGATTTCCATAAAAAATTAAAATGGATCATATTTGCAAACATGTCAAGGATTTGAAGTCTTTTTTTCCTTTACATAATTTTATTATCATTTTATTATCATAATTTTATTACATAGTAAGAAAACCAAACAAGGTGATTTTAGAGTTGCTTTATTCAGAGACTCCATGATATTTTCAAGGGGTTAGATTTGTTTTATTTCTCCCCTCTGACCTCAGCATATTGGCCACAAGATGATTTTAGTGACTCCATTATTCTCCTTTTCTTTGCCCATCTTACTAATTTTGCAAATTTTTATTAATCTTTTTGGATAAATGTCTTTTTTCATTTATAGCTCTTTGTTTTCCCTTTTAAGCTTAAAGAGACTGCCTACATTCTTTGGCTCATAGTTTCTTCCTCTGTCATTTATATCAGCAGCATATCATCTTCATATCTTTTTCTGACTCTCATGTTTGCTTCTGGCTTTTTATATCTTTTTCTCCTGAAGTCCTGAATATACAAAGAACTTTTGAGTCAAAAGAAATATAAAGAAAAATTATTAGAAGATATGGACAAGGGAATCATAGTAGAAGAAAAAAACATAAGCAATCTTATAGTTAAATGTTTAATCTTACCAGCAACAGAAGGAAAATGAACATAATTTTAAGTGGTGGATTCCACCAAATTAGCAAAATTTAAAAATTTTGACCAGAGTACTTTAAAACAAGCATTTTTATATGCTTTTTGAAGATACAACTTGGTATAACATTTGTAGAGAGCAATTAGGTAATATTTGAGAACTTTACATTTTTAAAAAATGTTTTGACCTACTAATTTCATTCCTAGTAATCTGTCCTAAAGCTGTTAATTAGGGAGGAAAAAACATATCTGCGTAAAATTAATTATTTAACATAGTGTTTCTGTAACAGGGGTAAAACTTGCAATTACTTAAATGCCCAAGAGTGAGGTAATACTTTCTTAAGAGTAAAGTTATGACACCATGAAATTCCAATTTGAAGACTATTTCAAAGAACTGAGAAAATACTGTATTTGTGAAATAATACTTATAACATTATAATACTGTGTTTATAGTATTGTGGGTTGGCATACAAACCATGTGATCCGAAATATAGCAAAATAAATTTCTCTGAGTGGTGTGGAGAGGAGTGGAATAATAATTTCTGTAATGTTACTTAAAATGTCTTGAAGTTTCTGAGTGTGGCACTGTAGCAGGTTGGTTTGGAACACAGCCCTGACTCAGGAAGACCTTGCTTTTGTAGAGTGCCCCCATCCTTTGTTTGACTTTACCCTGTTAGTTTTGAAAGTATATATTTCCTCATATGTGAAGTGGGACTCCTCATACCTAACTCATAAAATTTATGGATTGAACATGAAAATATATATGTAACAACTTTAAAAAATCAATTCTTTAACCAAAAAAAAAAAAAAGCAGTGAAGTTGCGGGGCTGTGGCTTGGGCTCAATGGTGGTGCACTTGCCTGGCATGTGTGAGGCACTGGGTTTGATTCTCAACACTGCATATAAATAGATAAAAATAGGGGTCTATCAACAACTAAAAAAAAAAAAATTAAAAAAAAACACTGAAGTCAACTTTTTTGCCTCTCATTGAATGTAACAATAAAGACATTCAAGATACAGTAGTCAAAGTTCAAACAAATTCGGAGACTAAATTAGCTTTTAAATGTATGGTTGTCTTGTGAATTACAGATCAAGTATTAGTTTTGCTAAAATAAAACTAAAATTTATTTGGTAAAATAAATAGTAATAAATGAAGTGCAATTTTAACTTTCTGCAAAGAGAAATATTGTTTTCTTGCTAATATTTTCCAGCTGTTGAGCTAACTAGCACAGATGTAACATTTCTCACTATGTACATAACAGCCTTTTGCAACATGGGTTCCCGTCATCCTTAGGCATCCTTTGTGTGTAATGAATTTGCTTCTCTCCTGTGCATGTAGAATGGTACCAGTTACATGATATTGCATTCTCATATGAGAGAAATGAGAACACAGTCACCTAAATCATTGAGATCTGTTTTCTGGTTCAGATGAAGAACCCTGATGGAGATACCCAGCACATGGGAGCACTCAATTAGTGTTTATGCTTTAGAAGTTGTATAAAAGAGCAGTGACTTTCTTTGCCTGGTGTAAGCACCTTTGGAGAAAGTTTTTAGCAGAGTAGAATTCAGTACGTAGACAGTGCTATGGTGGTTTTCCAGGCCTTATCTTTGGAACTGAGACTGGATCTGTGTTATAGGACTGAGCAGTTCCTTGTGTTTGCCCTCTTGTAGCAGCCTCTTTCCTCCACTGTAGGGCGCCAAGATACTGCATTCCATTTGGGTAGTATTTTTCAAGTCAATTCTCCCCTTGTAACTCTCCTAGTATCAGAAGCCTTATTCAGGCCTCAGATTTAATGCTTTGTACAAATTGCTTTATGATAATGAATTCAGTGCTGGATGTTTATAGCTGCTTTTTTGGGAACATCGATCCTTTTTAAATATACTGCTAAATATATTGTTTAAATATTTTTCTGGTGATATGTTCTCATGACTGCTTCTTATTTTATTTTAGCTACTGATCTACTTCTTGCCTGGAATCCCATTTGTTTGGGATTGGTAGAAGGTGTTATTGGGAAAATTCAACTTCATTCAGGTATGTTTCTATAATCTTCTTAAACTTGCAAATTGAATGTGGCATTCTGTGACATTTTCCTTTTTGAGGTTACATGAGTAGATTTTGAGTGTTCAACGTGGGTATTTCTATGTAAGTTTAATGAAATAAAAATTAAGCTTTAAAGAAAAGGAGGTAGAGAAATGGAGGCTTTCATTCTTTTGGTTTAAAAAAAAAAAACTCATAGAATACCTACTAAGTCTCAGGGATTATGGTAGTTGGTGTGACATAATGAACAAACTGACCCTTCACTACCCTCATGGAGCTAAATTTAGGAAAGACATAAATCACTGAAATAAATATATAATAGAGAATTGTAATGGGTTCTGTGTGGGAAAGATATAGCAAGTACATTGACTTCAAGGGAGAAAATAGTAGGAATAAATCTGGAGAGGTAGGGAGGCAGCAGCCTGTGATTAGCTGCTTTGGGTCAGCTGCCTATTCCTGATACAGTCATCTCTAGCCGGGGGAGAGAATGGGTCTCTCAGTATGCAGTGTGGTCTTTTTAGGGAAACTTTAGGCCATTCACCAGTGCTTCACCTGGAAAGGCAGGAACCTGTTTCTTGGGTTCAGAGGGAATTTTGTTTGTGAGAAAATATAAGTGTTAATAGAGGATAGGAAAGGCAGCAGAGTACAACAGACACTAGTATGGCAGTATGTAAAAATGTGGATGTGTAACCGATGTGATTCTGCAATCTGTATACGGGGTAAAAATGGGAGTTCATAACCCACTTGAATCAAATGTATGAAATATGATATGTCAAGAGCTATGTAATGTTTTGAACAACTAATAAAAAAATAAAAAATAAATAAATAAAAGAGAAAATATAAGTGTTATATAGGTGGGTATATAAAAAAGGCTAAATGAAATATTTTAAGCAATATTTAACTTACTTAGCTTTGGTATCAACTTTAATATGTACTGTGAACTATAGGAGGCTTTGCCATTATTGCCGTGTAACAGAAGTACTACGTATCTCTGTAACGTACTTTATTTATTTATTTGGGTACCAGGGATTGAACTCGGGGGCATTTAACCATTGAGCCATATCCCCAGCCCTTTTTTTTTATATATATTTTATTTAGAGACACTGAGTTGCTTAGTGCTTTGCTAAGTTGCTGAGGCTGGTTTTGAAATCATGATCCTCCTGCCTCAGCCTCCTTAATAGCTGGGATTATAGGTGTGCAACACTGAATCTGGCTTTTATTCTTTTAAAGTAAAATTATTATGTATTTGGAAGCTAGGTTTATTTTTGTTAATTAGAAAGCACATATTTCCATGGACAGTCTAATTTTTCTTTGCCAAATTCTTTGTGATTTAAGATTTGGTTTTATTATTAAATATTTTATAAATGCTGTAAAATACTGTTAAAATGGGCAAAGATGCGACTTACACAGTCAAGGGGGAGAAATAAAGAATGTCCGTGCACTTCTGCCCTTTCAATGATTTATTCACTCAAATCACTCAATACAATAGGTTCTTAATCAAGAAAATGACTATCCTTAATGCTAGGCACTGCAATAGACATAATCAATCCACAGCAAATAATTCTAGATTAATTCTAAACACTGCAAGCACTCTTAATCATGACAGGATCATGATGGACATTCCCTCTGCATGCTAAGTTCAAGTGCCAGATCTAACGTCTCAAGCCTTAGGCTCTAAGTCCAGCACATGCAGACTCACTCAGACCACGGTGATCAGGTAAGGAACCATGGCAGTTTTCTCCTGGGGTAGAGCTGACAGCCAGTTGAAGAGTGGGTGGTAGGGAGAAGTTGCATTTCTCACCAGGGTCAAGATGTGGCTGTAGAGTTTGAGAGCAGTAAGGAAGATGCAGAGGATCAGGCAAACAATGAGAAGAGTTGGGATGTCAGTCCAGGTCCTCATCAGGCTCTCCAGCAGGGGGACATCAGTGTCGGCTGACTGATTGTCTCTTCATTTGCTCCATCATTTATACTAAACCACCTTTTCAATCCCTATCAGCTGCCACAGGATTTCTTGGTGAAGTCATTTGCCCTGGGGTTAAGCATCTGGTCTAGGGGTCCCCACCCTGATTTTCTTGCCTTTTCTCCTTATCAGGGCAAGGGCAACATGACAGAGACTTCACTCTGAGCTTGTCAGGGAGGGGAGAAGTGACTTGTTTATGTCAGGACTATGCATGATGATCATATTGGAGGGCTCCGTAGGCGTGCCTGGTGAGACTGCAGGTTTCAAAGTGGAGTTTTAAAATGGAGTTGCTTAGGCTAAGGCCTAAGGTCATCTTTACAAATACACATGTATATATACCATACAAAGTAAGAAATGAAGCATGACTAGTGTCTTTGGAGCCTTCTCTGTGTCTTTCTTAGGTGTTTTCTTTTCTTGAAGAGAACCTACTATCTTTTGTGTGTGTGTGTGTGTGTGTGTGTGTGGTCCTGGGGATTAAACTCAGAAGTGGGGATTCTATCATTAAGCTACATTCTGAATCTTTTATTTTTTGTTTTGGGACAAGAGCTCACTAAATTTCTGAGGCTGGTCTCAGACTTGTGATCCTCCTGCTTTAGCCTCCTGAGTAGCTAGAATTATAGGTGTACACTACCATTCTGGCAAGAGCCCACTATCTTGAATTTTGTTCTTACTCCTTTGATTTTCACTATTGCTTTTATTATATGTTAAGTCTTAAAAAAAAATGTTGCTGGGGCTGGGGAGTGGCTCAAGCGGTAGCGCGCTCGCCTGGCATGCGTGCAGCCCAGGTTCTATCCTCAGCACCACATACAAACAAAGATGTTGTGTCCACCGAGAACTAAAAAATAAATATTAAAAATTCTCTCTCTCTCTCTCAAAAAAATATATGTTGCTAACTTTTGTATTTTGGAGATTTTATATAAAGGACATTAAGCTATTTATGTTCTTCACCTCTCACCTTACCCCCTGCCATTGTTGTACTGGGGACATTGTTAGGCAAGTGTTCTACCATTAAGTTGCTGAGGCTGGCCTGAATTTGTGGTCCTCTTGCCTCAGCCTACTGAGTAGCTAGGATTACAGGTATGTGCCTGGCTGTTCTTTTACTTTTATTGTTTATTTTTGAGATTTATTCATGTTCATGTATGAAATTGGAATTCCGTATTTTCCCTATTATATGAAGATATCATGATTTGTCCTTTTTCCTGTCATTGGGTAATTAAATTGTTTCTTCTTTTTTCTCCCTCTATTAGAAATAATACTGCTTTGAGCATTGTTGTATATTCTGTCTTTGGTAGGTTAAAAAAAATTCTTTCAACATAGAGGAGAAAAGCATTTAGTCATTCTGAAACCAGGCTAAGTATTTTAATAACACTCTCCTACCTGTCCACATTTACATACATATATTTTAATTCATTTACATGCTGACAGGATAATTTCACAGCTGGATGTTCTGAGCTAAAATTCATTTTCTATTATTTAAATGACAAGTATGAAACTTCTGAGTTATTTTTCTTTAATTTCAGTCACATCTTGGAGCAGTGAATAAATCACTGCAGTCAGTCAGGAGACCAGGATTCAAGCTCCATTTATTAGCTTTGTGATAGAGGGGAACTTACCCGTTTCATTTGTTGTTATATAATAAGCCATCCCAAAGCTATGGCTCAAAAAGAACAACAACGTACAATGTCTCATGATTCTGTGGTCTGATTAAGTGACTCTTCTATTATTCTTTTCTCTTCTGTTAATTGGGGTTCTTCATGCAGCAGCCATGGGTTTGCCCAGATTGCTTTGGTTTGCCTTCATGTGGCCTGTCTATGGGTCTCATCACACAGGGCATCTCACTGGGTCCTTCTCCCTCTTCTAGAGAACCTGGACTTCTTTTCAAAGTTGTGACTGGGTACCAGGAAGACAGACCTCAAAGTGTAAGGGTCTCTACTTCTTAAGCTGTACAAGAGTAAAAGTAACTGTTTTATTTCTGTAGTGTATTGTGTGCCAAATGAGATAACATACCTGAAGGTTCTTAGTAAATTAAATACCACTATTTTATCAAGACTCTCTTTGTGATTCAAACTTATCAGGTTAAGCAAAAACAAATTTTTTATAAGGAATCCAAGAGACCAAAGTTGGAAGTGGATATTGTACAGGATCTGAGATTATTTTCTTGGAGTGGGTCTCTAACTACCACTTCTCCCTATACATCTCCTTCATTCTTTTCTTTTTTTTTTAAATATATTTTTTAAGTTGTTGACCTTTATTTTATTTATTTTTTACTTATGTGTATGTGGTGTTGAGAATTGAACCCAGTGCCTCACACTGAGCCCCAGCCCCATCGTTTTTTTCTTTTTTGGGCTTTTTCTGTTTTTGTGCATATAGGAAAAAAAAATCTTTCTTTAATGGAATGGCACCCTTGTGCCTCAAATCAACATCTGTAATCAGTGGAGACTGACCAGCAATCAAAAAGAATTGAATAGTGAGTTTGATTCAGACTCCTGGAAAAGAGACTTATTGGCCTAGCTTTTCCAAAGGCTTTTCCTGGTCACCTCAAGTGCTTCATAGGGACCCCCCCTGAGGGGGGAGTAGCAGTCAGAGCAGGAGGGTTTGGACTTGACAGACAACCCCAAAGAAGTCTCCTATCAGCAGAGTACAAATATAAATTAATGACTTCCAAATTTATGATGTAATGAATGTCCCAGCATCTGTGGTCAACCTGTTTATATGTCCTTTTCCTCCTTGTTTCCTTGCTTTTCTTTTGTCCTAGAATAGGAGGTTGACAAGCAGTGAAAGTACCTGTGGGGGATGTTTTGGAAGAGGGAGGGGAGGGGAGTAGAGCGAACTATAGAAAGAAAATATAGAAAAGGAAAGAAAGGCATGGAAAATCTTTAAATTTCTAACCCAATCCTCAGATCTCACCCTTGCCCCCAACCTTGTCACATCACTTAACAGGTTTGTTTCTGAAAGAAAGGGAGCCAACAGGAAGCAAAAATTCTTTTCAGGGCCCTCTGTTGTTCTTTCTTTCCCTCTACGGCCTCTCTGTGTC